GCAGGAAAAAGTGCTCTTTATTTCTTCCTGGACTCCCCTTTTCAAAAATCCTGGATCTGCCCCTGGCTTGTACAGGCCAAAGCCCTCACAAGTAGCAGTATTGTTCACCAATTTTCTGGACTCATACTTTGAGTGCCAGTCACCCTTTTGTATAGCTATATATGTGGTTGCAACTTGCCAATTGATTCGATTGTATACTAGATATTTAGCCGATCGTTTTTAATGCACAATTACGTATTGCGCAAATCTGATATCAGCCGGATCACATACTGTCCACTGCCCAATAGCAGCTTGGTAAGTCAGGTGGAAGGATACATGGTGTAAATGTCTAGCAGGAATCTGGCTATCTGCTATATATGCTGTGTGTAGATCAACATGCATTTACCTAATGATCATAACGTTGGAATAAAATGGCAGTTTATTCTTTGCGACAATTAAATGAAATTTTATGCTGTTGAAAATGTGTATATTTCTTTAGCGTTAAATATTATTAAGAGTTGTTGCTAAAACATGGGAAAATTTATATTGCAATATTGAAATCTTTCTCAGTAATAAGCACCACAATACTTTTACCTAGGGTAGAAAATTAATTTGTGTAGTGTAAGTGTAAAGTTTCATATTGCGTTCAGTTCCCACTTCCAGGAATGATCGATTTTATGTAACAGTAAAACATGTTTATACAACAGTGCTGTAATTATTGTGCCCACCTTGAGTAAGCAATTGTCATTCATAATATAAAATGCTGATAATATTATTAGCTCAGCTGACGAAATCAGATGCAGCTTGTAGAATCGCATGATTGTCCGTCCGTCCGTCAACAGCTGGGCACAAATCTTAACTGCTCGACGTACAGTCTTGATATACGGGACGTATCGTGAAAAGGACTCGGGATGTCGAATTTGGGGGGTCAAGGGTCAAAGGTCAAGATGTGTCAATGGAGGGGGAATATTTCCCCCTTAAAACTGAAGGTATAGGAGGAAATACGGAATTGCGGCACAAATCTCAACGGCTCGACCTACGCTGTTAATATTCGATGTATAGTGTGATGGGGAGGAAACAGGTTACAGGTCAAAGGGCAGTGGGGGAAAGGTCAGATATCAGACATTTCTGAGGACGTGGTCTAACGGACCGAGTGCAAAACTTTTTTGTTTCAGCGCTGACCTACCGTTTTTATCACTTTATTGAAAGGACCATGAAATCTACTTTCTGCTGACGTGCGAAGAGTAAGTGTCTGATAATCTTTTGACCCTCAAGAGGAGGGTTAAACATGGATTTGTTGACCATTAACAAAGGACTGAACTGTTTTTGCTATTAGAGCCCCCCCCCCACCACCACCACGCTCGCGCTTGACGCATATCCATGATAACATGTTAATATAGCGAAGTCATTAAAGTTACACAGCTGTATATTTACTAGTGTACTACCAGTAGGTATAGCCTATCATAGATTTTAGATCTGTATTAGTAGTATCCTAGATATATGCTCTGAGCGCGAACACGGTGGTAGGAGGGCGCACTTGATTCGGTTGCCAGAGTTTATCAGAAGAATACCTGGCTACAATACACGTCAGTTGAGCGCTGTCGCTCTGCGGCACTTGTTTAATGTTAATAGTTAATTGTTTTTTCTGTATTTTCAGATTGCTCATTGCTGCGCTCCCGCAGGATATGCGCAATTGTGGCGCTTGCTAACAATGGCTAAGCTGTGTTGGCACATACACACATGTTTGCCAAAAAAGCGGCTACATGCCATAACAAGTAATCCACTGCTCACAATATATTATTTAGAAATTAAATGACATAATTGAAAATTTTGTCAGGTTACAAAACTAGAAGCATCTCAAATCAGTATTCTGCATGTATTGTGCATTTGTACCAGGACATGGAGAAGTGAAGAGTAGAGCAGAGAACAATGAAGTAGTTTTGCACATAGTTAAACTTTGCAGTCTAGTAGAATCCTAAAACACGTCGTAATTTTGCATAAAATTAAATTATTCTCTGCGTTGCAGCGTGGAAGACCGGCTGGGCTTTGATTGTGATGTGCGTATTGGCTCTGTACTATATATATCAGTCGCACATGCCGCCGGAGAAGGATGTGTTCACGATACGTTTCTTCTTCTCCGGCGGCATTGGGAACGAGCTGTTCTGGTACGCGTCCGGCCTCGCGATAGCCTCACGCAACCACATGGCGTTCCATCTCGAGAAGGACCTGAAGATACGCAAGTTCTTTAACCTCACCGAGGCGGTGTTCGTCGACGGTCCCGAGTACGGCTCTCGCTTCGCACAGGTGAAGGAGCGGCAGTGCTGCTGCTACAACCCGTCTCTCGCTCGACCTCGCGAGTCCCCCGTCCGCTATGAGGCCTACCTGCAGTCGTGGAAGTACTTTGTTGACTACCGGCAGGTGGTGCGCGAGCAGTTCCGCCCGAACGCCGACCTGCTGCGGCGCGCACGACGCGTCCTCGACGACGCGCTCGCGACGCTGGACGGTGGCGACCCTGCTGTCGGTGGCCACCGCACGCTCGTCGGCGTTCACGTGCGCCGCGGCGACATGCTTCACCAAGAGAACATGAGCCTCGGTTTCCAGGTGGCGGACGCACGCTACTTGCGCGCGGCGATCGCGTACTTTGCGCGGCGCCACCGCGGATGCACGTTTGTCGTCTGCAGCGACGACATGGCGTGGACGCGCCGGCAGCTAGAGGGCGCCGCGAACGTCGTGTTCGTCTCGGCCGGATCGGCCATCTTGGATTTCATCGTGCTGACGCTAACCAACCACACGGTGATGACGACGGGCACGTTCTCTTGGTGGGTCGCTTACCTGACTGGTGGCGACGCCGTGTACTACAATCAGTCGTCGCGTCCCGGGTCCGAACTAGCACATCAGGTGTGTACGCGCGAGTACTATCTGCCTAACTGGGTGCCACTGTGAAGTAGTGAACGTGCGGCAGCCGCGGACACTCCTCGGTGCTGCTCCTAGTGTTGCCAGTGCAGCAGTGTTGCATACAATTTGTATACAAATGTACAACATGTTGTGTATCAACATACGGGGTTCCGAATCTCTGGTCAGTGAATGTTAGCAGTTAGTTCTATAACTCCTACCAAACATTCGACAAGTAAATATGACGTCAAACCTTGGGTAATTACCTGAGTGTACTAACACATACGATTTCCTGATGAAATCAAATTAATTAACTTATGTGATGAAACGGGCAGCCCATGCGAACGTTATGACACTAAAACGGCATTCCCTCAGTGAAAAGCTAACATGGATATTCCTTATCAACACACTACCATTCCTTGGTTGCCACATAAAAACGTTCCCAAAACGCCACGTATATCATGAACAAGCTTGTGAATTGGTGAATATACTAGTTTGCAACATGATGTACACTAACAATGCACCATGTTCATTTCTTCAAAATTTACTTGGATCACAAGGGTACAGATTAGTGTGTGCTTGCTAGATCTGTGATAATAGTTTCTAATTACTTTGTCCAACAACAAATTAAAACTTTAAAAAAACCTTATGGTAAAGTAGCATTTAAAAAGTTATAATCTGTTAATCAAACTTTTGTCAATAGATGACAAACGGTCTACTACAGTGATACGAATTTCTGCTTATTTGCATACTATTTTGCATGCCCTCATGATGTACAGGTAGATATATACACAGAGAAGTTGAATCACTCTGGAGTTGCAGTGGAAATATTAATCCACACCTGAGTGTGTCACGCTTTTCGGATAACAACATCGGAATGGCAATGCAATGTTTTAACAGAGCAGCTTTTGCATTGAGTCTATCTAATCAAAATAATTTTATGCACTAAATGTTTGCATTGAACACTACTTTGATTAGATACATTGATAGGTCTATTTATATATAGGGGGAATGCCGTTAGGTTACATATATTATATAATATTGGTTAAAGTTATAATTATATAAGCTATATATATTATATAATTATAAGTCGAGTACTAGCCATAGTGGCTGCAAACTTAATTTTAATATTTCACAAACCTTATTATACTGTATGTTGCAGCTCATATTCTGTGTCAAAAATTGGCCAGTCGTTGGCCAAAAATTGGTCATGCGTGAGGAGAGGCCAGTCAATTCCCTTAATTCCACCATACACACGTATGGTATGCGAATAGGTTTTGTATGACATTTTTACGCTTATGAAATTCATAAGTTTGGTTATTCAATTTGTTTAGATAAAACCCAAATTTTATCAGAAGTGCATAATAGAGATGATATCTAGATAATATATAGATGATAATTTATCATATCCAGCTCAGCTGGTTGTGCCTAGTTATCATATGAAAAGTGTGTTCATGCATTCATAGCAGCTACAGTCTCAGCTATTTTGAAATGTACATATCATAAGTTTATGAGACCAATAAATACATTCCTCATTATATACATTTTATAGCAACTCTCTAAGACCGTTAATTGCAGCTCCTATTGGACATGTGTTGTTTATTTCTGATGTGTAAAATCACATTCCATGGCTGTGTAAATTTTTGGTTTCTAGATATGTGTCGAGACTGAATATTCATGATTGTTTTGTATCCGTGTTCATAGTTTTTAGCTCATCTGACATAGTCAGATGCAGCTTGTAGAATCGCATGATTGTCCGGTCGTCCGTGCGTCAACAATTGGGCACAAATCTAAACGGCTCGACGTACGGTCACGATATTCGGGACGTGGGGGGGTAATCCGAAAACGAGTTGGGATATCGACGCTGTTGGCAAAAGTCAAAGTCAAAGGTCAAGAGTGTAAAAACAGGGAACATTCCCTCCTTAACTTAGTAAAGGAGCAAATGCAAATGCGGCACAAACTAACGGCTCGACCTAGACGCCGTATAGTCTGTGTATCACGTCATCATTATAAAAACCATCACTTGTGCCGAATTGGAGGTGTCACGAGGCAACAGCAAAGGGCACCGGGCCGATTTTAGACATTTCTGAGACATGTCTGACGAGCGCATCTGGAAAAACTTTTGTTGTTCAGTGGATGCCACCATTATTTATGCTTTACTAAAGGAGACCATGAAATGTACTTCCGCTGAACATGCAAGTAGCAAACTGTCTGATGATCACTTTTGACCCTAGAGAGTTAAACATGATTTACTGTTAAGAAAGAATTGACTGCCGGTTTCTATAAATCTAATACTACATTCCTGAATCGTATGAGCTAACATTGTCACATGACATTCAAAAGCTAAATTGTTCAATAATGTTATAAGCTCCTTAAATCGATAATTCATATGGCATCTGTACTCGGTCATTGTGTTACAAAGCCACTATGCCCCGCCATGCCCCCCCAGTCTGGATTCGTGGAATAGTACTTGGTATTTGTTTTGCCATGCGTAATTAATCTACAGTGCAGCCTCTATTTCACCTGAGCTTGCCGAGTAAATAGATAGTGCTTACCTATCTGCTTGCCAAAGTGTTGCACTACGTACGATGGCAGCTTACATCTTACTAAGACACAAACTACGCCGCCATTTCGGGCAACTTTCATAACGACTCCCAACGAACAATTCTTCGAGAAGTTCCGATACCATCCTTTGCCTTCCACTGTTGCGTGTAATAGGAAACACTTGGACTAACGGGTACAGAATCCCACCCACTCCCAGAGCCCGCAGAGACGTGATCAGCGTCGCCCCGCGCACTTTCGGTAGACTATATCAGCTAGTAGATAAAGGAGAGTTACATCATAATCAAGGAATTCGTCATTTACTACTATAAAACCTACGCATTTACTACCGCCGTAACTCACCAACTGAGCTCAAATCGGACTACAGTACATGTCGCCAATCATCTCGAAACGTTCCGTCGTAACACCCGCAACACCCGCAACCGAGATACCAGCCTAAAACGTACGAACGATCTCCATTCTTTGGCCATCATCCAGCCATTGCGCGCTCTATCAATTCAACAGCACAAAGCAGCAACACTGCGCGTCATCGCTGGTCCTCTCGAATAGTCTGAACCGTGCGTTGTGCTGCGGGGAAAAAAAGAAATTTGAAGAATCGACGCAACACCGCACGAGCATATCATAGCTGTTGGCCGGCGTGCGTGAAGGCATTCCCAGCCTATGACAAAGGTGCCTGTGACTGTGTACGGCACAGGTATACTCCCCGAGTGTTGAGGCCTAATCTCCCAGCGACCACATGCCCGCTCATTAGCAATAGCGCTAGATAGCTGCCTTTTGTTGAATATAGGCGCGCCAATGCTGATGATGGCCAAAATGGAGAATCGTGTCGTACGTTTTAGGCTGTATCTCCGGATTGCGGGTGTCTACGAGGAAACGATTTCGCACGGTGATTGGCGAATGTACTGTGTCCGATTTGAGCTCAAGTTGGATGAGTTACGCGTAGTAAATCGTAGGTATTATAAGGCTAGTAAATGACGAATTTCCCTTGTTTATTGATGTCACACTCCTCCCTATTATCTACTCCTGATTATATATACCAGGTTATTATTAATTTGCCAAATATTAGTCAAATATTGAAAGATTATACACTTTCAGTGATATTAATTTTATTGTCATCATAACCGTGTCTATATTCACATATATCACATGATCTATCTTCACATATTCTATATTCACATGATTCGCTCTGAAACTAGTATAGTAAAATCGTGAAGATATCTATATACAATGTATAGTTAAGGCGGGCTTATGTCGGGCTTTCGAGCCGACTTGACCGGAAGCAACTGGATTTCGAGCAACTGGAAGCGATCGGCAGCGACTAGTTGCGTCCAGTTGCCCACTGTTCTATTCCGAGCAACTAGTGGCGGCCAGTCGCAGGCAGTCGCGTCGCAGTCGACCGACCTAAGCACTGCAGTCGCAGCCAGTTGCTTTCAGTCGAGTCGGCTCGCAAGCCCGACATAAGCCCGCCTTTATATGTTCATGATATAAAATATAGATATGTTATTCGCATTACTCTCTGCCATGTTGAATATGTTGTACTTGCAGTGGCAGTATTACATTATTATCTGTCAACATCGTAATACAAACATCGTTCATAGTCTTAGGGACTGTCCCGAAAAAGCAGGGAGCCTATAATTGATCATTAGACGTAATCTAAACTATCAGATCAATATTGTGGATTGCATTAGAAAAGGGTTAGTGTTAGTGTTATATCCAATATTTATATCCAAGGTTCATATTGTTAAAATTGAAGGCTCTCTTCTTCGGGTCAGTCTCATGGATATTTGTTATGGGATTATATCTCTGGATTCTCAAATTATTGACCGGAATTTGGTCGGATGCCCTTCAATAAAACGACCGGTCGGTTTTTAAACTTCAACCTAGATATGGTCAGGAGTGAATTAATACATTAATACACACTCCTGATAGATATCTATATTTACACATATGTATTTATAGTAGATATCTAATAATCTATGGATAGTGTCGGCCGGGATCTATCATTTGTGATTGCTTACTCGTGGTAGTATATATTATCTTTCTCTATAGCTTGTCCAATAGAAATGGATGGTGTAAGGAATGAATAAAGCCAACTTGTTTTTATTCACTCCTAATGGCATGCTATCTAATTCTATTGCTTGGCGAAAAATCAAATTGATAGAAGTGTATACGTAGCTTATCTGGTATTATTTCTGTGGTACAAAACCCAACTAGCTTCTGTTTTGTCAGATAGTCACGCCATCCACACCCGATTTTCTTCAAAACCTTAAAAGGTTAATTGAAGTGTTTTAGTAATTTTTGTCGTGGTCACGATCGTGACATGACGTTACCGTGTCTTTCATTCCCAAATCGTGAGTTTGTCAGGTATGTCGTGGTAAATCGTTCACGTGCGTTCTCAGTCCGTAATATCAAACGTTATTTTATCTATTTGTAGAGTAGTATAGTAAGGTAACAAAGGATACAAATGTAATACCAAGTTTATTTTATGGTATACATGAGTAAATTAAGCGATGAGGATCAGAAAACATGAATTTAGATCAGTCATATATTCGATTATTCCTCTAGTAATAATTTGCTCGACCTGGATACAGCCATAAAGCTGGTAGTTGTTGTTAATTGTTACTTTGGCAGCTTTTCAAATAAATGGTTGGCGATTGACATTAGAGGCTGGAAAGATGTTTTTTGTGTGGCGGTGCACGGCATGGCACCGGTCACTACGGGCTCCCGGTGGGCTATGGTCAACCGTAAGGTAGTTCTGAGTCTAGAACTATAGACCTTCTTTCGGCCTGTGGCAGAGCAGAGGGCTATAGTTCTAGAGCTAACCGTAAGGTAGCTCGCTGGTGAGCACAGGCAGAATGTGTGTATGTTCTGTGTTTGTGATTGTGTAAGTTGTTGTTATGATTACTGTCTGTGTTTTGTAGTTTTGCTCACTCACCACCGAAAGTGTTATATGTTATGGAGGCGGGTGAAACAACAGCCAATTCAGTGAGAGAGGTGCAAGTTGTGTGTTAGACAGCGAAGGTGGAAGGTGTGATATGTCACTGGTGATATGAAAGGGTGATACAGCCACCGTTTGGTATTTTAGTTGGCGAGTCAGCCAATGTCGTGTTCTGTTAAAGGCGGGGTTCAGAAGCACGCAATGCAAAAGCAGAGATCATTCCTGGGAAGAAATGGTGGCCCTGAAAAGGGCTGGTTGGGTTTCACAATCAATACTAGCGAGTTTTAACCGCCAAAGCCGTACAGAGTACGCCCCTGACGTTTGAGAGCGTAGACAACGTCCATGGCGGTGACGGTCTTCCTCTTGGCGTGCTCGGTGTAGGTGACAGCATCACGGATAACGTTCTCGAGGAACACTTTCAGAACGCCGCAGGTCTCTTCGTAGAGAAGGCCAGAGATACGCTTCACACCACCTCGGCGAGCAAGACGACGAATGGCAGGCTTGGTATCTTGGGCACTCTAATGCAGATGCGGGGATTATCTAAAGAAACAGGAAATTATGTCTACTTCCAGTTCTTTAGATATTAATACTTCGAATTGACAATATCTTTCGTACATATTCTGCTGCTGGTTTGAGTAACCCAGTGTAGTCCCCTCCCCAGTCTTCACTTTGATCGCTGTCCTTATATCTGTTATAAAACTCACATTTATATAAATGTTCCAAGTTCTCTTTTATATTGTTATTACATAAATTGCACCGGTCACCGAAAAAAAGAAAGAATAAATCACCGAAGTTATTTCTAAAATAGCTTTTGAGTTCTATCATGCATGTTTTACATTTCAATGTAAAACATGCGTCGGTAAATGACATTTCTTTCATATATTCCTTTAGCCCATAAGTTTCTATGTTTATCATCTTCATTTTCGTTTTTCCTTTGTTTTCATTTTATCTCTTGTTATTACACTTTTTAAAATAGCTTGTTTTACTTGTTTTTTTCCAGGCTTTCTTTGGTTTTATTCCTATGGCTGAGAGTGATATTCCTAAATCGTAGTTATCTAAAATTTCCGAGGTTTCGTTTGCCCAATTTTTTCTTCCTCTATAGTCTGTTGTATGTATATACTCTTTTCATTAATCTATTATTTTCCAAATTAACTATGAATTGCAGGGGCGCATACAGAGGGTTTCGGTGACCATGCATGCAGTTTCCATAGTTCTAGTCACAGCTAGGGGTGTCCGGGGGCATGCCCCCCGGGAATTTAAAAAAAAATTAGGATATATATTTGGTGCACTCTGGTGAATTTTGAGGGTAAATTCTGAAGATACCCAGACTGACCAGTTTCTGGAAACTGGTGCAAACCGGCCTAAATCCGCGCCTGAATTGCAGAAGCTTTTTTTTTGTAATTTATCTTGTCTAATATTGGTAGTATACCTAGCTCTATTCGAAGAGCTTCTAGCAGTGTTTTACTGTGTGCTTTTAGAATTTTGCGTAAGCACTCATATTGGAAGTCTTCTAACATTATAACATTTACGCTGTTGAATGGCTAGATATCTGCGGCCGCAACGGGATCACCCTCAACCCCAGGAAGTTCATGTTTGGTGCAGATGTTGTGGAATTTGCTGGTTTTGAGATTACCCCAGACAGCGTCCGCCTAGAGTCCCTATATACAGAGAGTTGCGCCAACTCAGGATTTGACTCCATGTTGTTTCCAAATGTAATCAACAGCGCGCTGCCATAGTTATACAGCGCTGTACTGGATACCTGTACAAGGTCCGAAAAATCTAATTAGACTATCATCGTTCCTTCCAATAAATTTCAAAAATTAACATGGAGATCTATATGCCTAAACATTTGTCTATATGTGTAGCTAATTATAGAAATGTAACTCAAATCGTCGCAAGCCCATATGATAGTTTAGACTTGACAACCTTTCTTCTACCCGCCCAATAGCCGTCTATATTACCTGTCGATACCGCGCCGCGTGAGACCTGCTAATATTAACCCTCGCCAGCTTCAATAATAACTCAACGAATCAGCATGCAGAGATCATAGATAAGCACATGTTTATCATGTATCTAGATTTCTAATAAAGTAACTCAACTTGCGCCATATGATAGCCTAAGTGTACACTTCTTAGTGTAAAATCACCAGCCACCTAGTTCATTTTGAGAAGAATAATCGACAACTGTAAATCACAAGATAAAATGCGTTCCACCCTCCACTGCCTCCGCAGCCTGTAATATTTGTTTGGCAGTTCTATAAACTCTAGCTACAAAACCATAGACATCAGTGTCTTAGCTATAATCTCTTAAATCCTGATTTAATTGAACACGATTAGCCTAATAATTACTATGGAACCATTACAGCCGTATCCATACATCGGTGTAACTAAGCGCCAGCGGGTTGACCATTTGAAACAACCATGCGGCACCGATCACGGTACGCCGATTTTTCCGACTCTCATAAGCCAAAGCTACATGTATTATAAGTAGCTCTAACGTCCCGCTCTTGCGACGAGTAACTTAAAAGCGATCGCTTGACTTCCCAACGCCCACGCAACGTCACAGATTGTCCTGCCAATGGGTTCGACTGTTCAATCAAGTCTCGCTACCCCTCAGCATGAACTCGAGAAGAGCTAGCATCTGCCGAGCGTCCTGAACCTCCAAGCATACCGTTTGTATGACCGATGCCTCCACGCGCTTTCGACGAGTCCAAAGCTGTATTGCAGTGAGAATACTCTACAGCCACACAAAACTACATCTCAATCACATCACTATACTACGTCATACAGCATCCATGCCGCAATCCACAGTCACATACGCAAGCGATGTCACATACCAGTCATAGGTACGCACATCTCTAATCTACAGTACATAATACGCAGCATCTAATCTAGCAGTCACATACTCACATCTCATCTACAGCTCACATTACGTCATACGACACCATCCCACATCACAGTCACCATACGCACATCTCACCCCTACAGTCACATACTCACCGTGCCAACTACAGTTACATATACCACATTCTCAATCTAACAGTCACATACCACATCTCAACTCTACAGTGACATACGCGCATCTCAATCCAGGGGCGTAGCTACGGGGCGGGCTTGGGGCCACATCCCCTCCACAAATTTTGTCCCCCGTGACCCCCCACTGAAAATTCATGCTTGATAAAAAAAAATTGGAATTAAAAACAATGCCGTTAGAACAGTATATTATAATACAAAGAAAGATGGTTCGAACCACATCTCAGTAAAATTATATATTGTGCCCCCCCCCTACGAAAATGTAAGGTTCCCCCCCCCCCGCTGAAAAAATCCTAGCTACGCCACTGTCTCAATCTACAGTCACATACGCACATCTCAATCTACAGTCACACCCGTGCATCTCAATCTACAGTCACGTACGCACATCTCAATCTACAGTCACATGATATGTGCATCTCAGGCTACAGTCACGTACGTATATCACAGTTTACAGTCATACATCTCAATCTACTGTCACATACGTGCATCCCAATCTACTGTTACATCTCACTCGCAGTTAGGGCCTGCATACCTCCCAAAGTGACCGACCAATCGTAGCGCTCGCAGCTCCCAAAGACAAAGTGACGCGTCGTTGACCAACCAATCGGAGCGCTCGCCGCTCAGGCACTAAAGCTGATGTGATGTTTTGTGGTTGCATTATTTAAGCTGGCTATCGTGAGTGGATGGTTACTGGTATTGGTAAGGGTTAGGGTTAGGGTTAGGGTTTAGCTTTATATTTATCAGCTTTAGTGCTTGAGCTGCGAGCGCTCCGATTGGTCGGTCAACGACGCGTCACTTTGTCTTTGAGAGGTATGCAGGCCCTAGCTGCGTGTTTACATCTGTCTACAGTCACATATACGTATAACACTCAGTTTACAGTCACACATCTCAATCTACTGTCACATACGTAGCCTAGCTCGTAGGCGCCTACATCTACATACAGTTAACACGTACAACGGCATGCATACACATGATTATGATACGGCGTACAAACCCGGCTTGATCATGAAACCCTGTATCTATACACTATACAGTATACTCACTCCACGCAATGAAAAGCTCACATTATTACATTGAATGGCTTCTTGAATACTGTTATCTAATAACTAAAATAACGATATTATGAGTAGTTATTTAAGATTTATCTTACCTGTGTTCCGGTTCGCCTGCACGTTAATAATGTCTGCTTAGGTTCGCACCAAAATGGCGCCACGCATGCTCTTTTTCTAGTTAATAATTGTTCGTAGAGATGGCAGCACTTACCGATCGCAATGGCGACCTGCCGAAGGTGAAATTAACCTGTTGAAATGTTGTTGTCGTTGAAATGTTGCTGAAGTAACGTTGTCATGCAAAATAAAGCCTAGTGACATAGCGCATCGTCTTCGCCACATTGGAAACCCCCCGGTAAGAGGAAAATGTGCACATTCCTTACGGCGGTTTCGGAGGAGATACGTGAAATTACGCGCGGCCGTTACAGTAATACTAATACTAGTGTAATACTAGTAATAGTAATAGGCCTACTACCGCTGAGAGGGTCTATGTCACCCGGGGTACTGCCGGAACGTACCCTGGGTACGGTCCGGTATACC